TATATATAATAGTGTATACATATAAACATGAATAGAATTAAGGTTAAAAATCACATGATCATATCAACTGACACAGAAAAACACTTCGACAATTTATCCTTCTCTATAGTCAACAAGTATTCCATTACACATAAATATCACATTACCCACTTGTCTGCTGATGGACACCTAGGCTGCAGTTATTGTGAATTGTGTGTTGCTCTACACTTGTGTATGCATGGGTCACTGTAATATGGTATCTTGAGCTCTTTGGGGAAGATAACTAGAAGAGAGATAGCCAGGTCAAATGGAATTTCTAGTTTTAGTTTTTTGAGGAATCTCCATACTGGTTTCCATAATGGATATACTAGTTTACATTCCCACTAACAATGTAGAAGTGTTCTTTTTCACTGTACCCTTGCCAGCATTTGTTATTATTTGATATCTTGGTGGTCACCATTCCTTCTGGTATAAGGTTAAATCAATAAATTCAACATCCCTTCATGATAAAACTCCCGGAAGAAACAAAGTACTGAAAGCTCATTCCTAAATATAGTAGTAAAGACTATATACAACAATCCCAGAACCAACATCATTCTCAGTGGGGGAAAACTGAAAGCATTTTCTCTAAAATCAGGAATAAAGCTAGTACCTTTTCACTACTTCTAGTCCATAAAATACTTGAAATTTTAGCTAGATCAATTAGGTAAGAGAAAGAAATAAGATATACAAATAGGAAAAGAAAAAATCAAATTATCCTTGCTTGCAGATGGTATGATCCTGTATTAGAAGACCCTAAAGTCTCCACCAAAAGATTTTTAGAACTGATAAACAAATTCAGCAAAGTAGGAGGATGTAAAATCAACATTAAAAAGCAATAGCTTTTCTTTATGCACTGATAATGCACTAGCGAGAAAGAAATCAGGAAAGCAATCCTATTCACAATAGCTTCAAAAGAATAAAATATTTAGGGGTCAATCAGAGGTGAAAGACATCTACAACGAAAATTTTGGAACACTGAAGAAATAAATTAAAGGAGACACCAAAAAATGGAATGACTGCCCATATTGATGGATTGGGTGAATTAATATTGTTAAAATGGACATATTATCAATCTACAGATTCAGTCCAATCTCCTCAAAATACCAATGACATTCTTCACAGAACTAGAAAAAAACTCTAAAATTCATACAGAAACACGAAAGACACAGAATAGTTAAAGCAATCCTAAGCAGCAAGAGTAAGGCCAGAGACATCACAATACCCAATTTCAAATTATAAAACCTGGACAAAGAAGCCAAAAATATAAATTGGAGAAAAGATAGGCTCTTTCACAAGTGATGCCAGGAAAACTGGACATCCTTATGTGGAAAATTAAAACTACATCCCTATCTCTCACTCTGTCCAAAAGTCAATTCAAAATGGATCAAGGGCCTAAGTATGAAACCTGAGATCTTAAAACTGCTGGGAGAAAACACAGGGCAAACACTTAAAATCATAAGCATAGGCAAAGACTCCCTGAACAAGATTCCACTAGCACAGGAAATTCCAAAAGCACAGCACTAATCAACAAAGGGGACTGCATCAAATTTAAAATGTTCTGCATAGCAAGGGAAACCACTAAGAGAGTAAAGAGACAGTGTAAAGAAGGGGAGATAATCCTTGTAAGTTGCTATTCTGACAGAAGATTAGTATCTAGAATATACAAAGAACTCAAAAAACACCCAAAAAATCAAATAGCCCAATCAATAAACGGGCAAGTGAATGGAACACTTTCAAAAAATGGCCAGGAAGTACATGAAAGAGTGTTCAACATTTCTAGCCACTAGGGAAATACAAATCAAAACTACACTCCATCTCACTGGAGTCAGAATGCCATCATCAAAAATGTACAGTACATGCGGGCTGGGGATTCAGCTTAGCAGCACAGCACCTGCCTGGCAAGTGCAAGGTCGTGAGTTTGATTCCCGGTACTGGAAAACAAAACAAAACAAAACAATTACTAAAAATGCACAGTACAGTAAGTGCTCGGGAGGATGTGGGATAAAAGAATCAATTCTACAGTACAGTGGGAATGTAAATTAGTACAGCCACTAAATCAGTGTGGACGGTCCGCAAAACACTGAAAACAGAGCTACCATTTGCTCCTTCGTATACACCTGGAAGAATTAAAGTCAGCATACCCTAAGGGTACTACATGGCCATCCTGATCGTGGCACCATTCGCAATAGTCGAGGACACGGAAGCAGACGAGGTGCCCGTTCTCAGATGAGTGATGAAGAAATGTGGTATATACACGCACAGGAGTATTATTCAGGCATAAAGAACAACATTTTGCCATTTGCAGGAAAATGGAGCTGGAGATCATTGTTGAGTGAAGCATGCCAGATTCAGAAAGACAAATATCGCATTCACCCTAACGTATGGAATCTAAACAAGATGACATGAAAGTGGGAGGGATACCATTACTGGAGAAGAGGAAGGGAACAAGGAAGAGGTGAAGGCTGGTGTAAGGACAGGTACAGAGGGGTGGGTGTGGAAGACCACCTAGGTGACTCTCCTTGAAAGAGAAGCAATTGCCTCCATTTTGGCTGAGCCTAATCCTATTTCCATGCATTGATATGTACAAAGCTGGC